TACGGGAGGCGCTGGCTGGTGCTGCTGCTCTTCTCGCTGCTGGCGTTCGCGCAGGGCCTGGTCTGGAACAGCTGGGGCCCCATCCAGAACTCGGCGCGCCAGGCCTATGGCTTCTCCAGCTGGGACATCGCGCTGCTCGTGCTGTGGGGGCCCATCGGCTTCCTGCCCTGCTTCGCCTTCATGTGGCTCCTGGACAAGAGAGGTGAGGGGTCGGGGACGGTGGGGGACGGGGGACGGGGGTGAAGGAGGAATGGGGCGCTGCCCGGAGCTGTCCACGGGGAGCGGCGCTCTTCTCTTGTCCCTGGCATCCCATCCTAACTTGAGAACCCCCTATCCCCAAAGCGACAATTGCGGGGAGGCTTCCTTGCACACGTGTGTGTGTGTGTGTGTGTGTGTGTATGTATGTATGTGTAGTGTGTGTTCACGCCCTTTATGTAGCCCTACGGATTTAACGTATCTTTAAATGCTCGAGCTTTTGCCTATTGTGAGCATCGGAGCATTCTAGCGCCCGTGCTATTTATTTCATGTACCTGCTTTAAAAAAAATCATTCTTTGACCTAAAAGTATTGGAAATATTCAGGGTGAAAGGTCAGAAACGAGACTGGTGATGTCTAGATGTGAGGAAGTAATTAATGAGTTGGCCTTGTGTAATAGGTGACTCCAGTCACGGAAGAACTATTGGGAAACCCAGGTCTGACGCTTGGGTGTCCGGCAGGTGGTGATGAGCATGTGTGTTTATGTCCTAGTAGCTTTCTAGGTGGAGGCTTATGACTAGATGAAGAAAGGCTGTCTTTTACAGAGGGTCCTACAGGCCATCTCACTACCATTTCCCAGTGTGATTATGTGAGGAGAGAGGAAGAGATCATAAGGTTGAGAATCATGGCAATAGATTGTATATTTAACCACAAGAGATTAGATTATCAAGACTCTAGATTTATTAGTTGGATATTGATTGGGAACTACTTTGTATATTTTCTGTTAGTTATACCCTTTGTTGAAAGGAATTATTTGATGAATTGGATTGTTTGGTCGTATCTGGAAAGCTTAGTCCACTGGGTCTACTATCAGCAAATGCCATTTTCTTCCCACCACTCATATCAGAAATTGCCAGACAATCCAAAAATTCATATGGAACAATAAAAGACCCCGAATAGCAAAAACGATCCTTAACAGAAAGAACAGTGCTGGAGGAATATTAATACCAAATTTCAAACTCTACTACAAAGCCATAGTACTCAAAACAGCTTGGTACTGGCACAAGAACAGACCTCAGGACCAATGGAATAGTATTGAAAACCAGAAATGAACCCACAGACCTGTAGCCATCTAATCTTTGATAAGGGAGCTAAAAAAAATAGAATGGAAGAAAGACAGCCTCTTCAGTAAATGGTGCTGGCAAAATTGGTTAATCACTTGTAGAAAACTAAAGCTAGATCCTTATATATCACCCTGCACCAGAATCAACTCCAAATGGATCAAAGACCTCGGAGTCAAAGCAGACTCTGAAAACATTACAGGATGGAATAGGAGAAACCCTAGGTCTCCTTAGCACAAGCTGAAATTTTCTTAAAAGAGACCCAGAAACACAACAAATCAAAGAAAGGTTGGACAAATGGGATTGCATGAAATTGTAGAGCTTCTGCATGGCAAAGGACATAGCTAGCAAGATCAATAGAAAGCCCATGGATTGGGAGAAGATCTTCACTAACCATATAATGGGACAAGGGTCTCA